TAGCCCGGAGTCCCAATACCGTCCCGGTCTGCCAGGCAACTTTAAAGAGATTAAATTGGACTACAGTTCATATGGACTGCACAGCTGAGGATTTTGAGAAAGCAATTTGGAGTGATAAGTATAGTGTGGAGAAATCCATGAATCTAATGCATTAATGTGTATTTAAAGAACCTGCAGAGAATTACTCGGCAGATTGTATACATACAAGAGAGAAGGATAAAGAAATATTGCTTATTGTTTGGAGGTGTTTTTGGGGTAAAAGACAAGGTCTCTTAGTTCCAATGACTCAAACCATCTAGAAAACAGGTATATCAGACTCTGGAGAAGGTATCTTATTCCTGCTATTCTTCAACTGATTTCTTTTACTATGAAAGATATCTTGTTTCAGCAGGACAATGCTCCTGTTCAAAAGGCATATAATGTAATGGATTTACTGGTGAGAAACTGCACTTAAGTGGTGGAACACTCCCATTATTCCCCTGATTTGAATTCTATCAAGTATGTATTAACTGAGCTTGAAAAGAAATTGCACCTGTAGTATTCAAGGATTGGAGATACCCCACGACCAAAACAGGCTGTCCGGAGATAGCTTGTCCAAGTATTACGATTGATTTGGGAGAAAATCCCTGACAGGTTCTTGGAGAAGTTGTGGAAATAAATGTCTGATAGAGTTGCTATAGTATTGGAAGCAAGGGCAGGTTATACAATGTATTAGCTATTTCAGTATATAATTTATATTACTAGTACTTTAATGTTCTCATGAGTTGATTGTTCACCATTACAATTTATCATTGATACCAAATATTGATTGATTAAGCGTGTTGACAACCACAGGATTGCCCCTCCTCACATCCTAGGACCTGCTATGGCCAATCCACAATTTTGCCTTTTCTCAGATCACAAACACTGCTGCCAAGTGGCTGTAGGGCATCGTGAAGTTTGATGCATTACGGCAAATGGTCAAGTCAGATGAGGTGTAAATTTAGAGTACAATTACCGAAAACCTGACACATTCTGTCAGATTGACATTTTGGTTAAATTCTCTCCTGGCTTCAAGTGATCATAGGTTGTAGCAAGAATTGCCTTATAATCAGCAGTACTGAGTTCGGTACATGCTAAGGCTAGAGTCCATTTCCTTGTATCTCTATCATCAGACATTGAACTTGTTTGTACAACAAAAGGCTATTTATCCCTATTGTAGAGAGCCCAGTACATATGTTCTAAATATCTTACATCCACATGCTCA